CTGTAAAAAGGGGATGGATATAAATATGCACCCATCTTTGTAAAGCATTTTGTGTTCTGTCAATAAAAACACTCTATACAGCAGGCCATTCATTAATCCACATTTAGTTGAATTATGCATATCAGAATAACCTACAAAAAGAATTCACTTTCTTTTTTCCTCTCACAAGGAAGATTTAATAGCAGATAAAGAAGCCAGGTCCCAGATGCTGTCATTATTTTTAAAAGATGTAATGTAGTACTCTATAACAGACTATTAATATGAATGATTAAAACCCAGCTATAACAGACAAAACAAATGAATTGAATATGCTTAGTGATTTCTGTCCTTAGGTTTTCAGTGTATTAGTAAGATTTCCAGAGAAGTCACTGGCTAGAGAACCTAGGTGATTTAGAAGCCTAAGTCTCATGGGCTTCCAAAGAGATTTTAACACATTGAAAATGTTCATCCACTGTCACTAATGCCCAAATATCAATAACTCACAATGGGCTGCCTGATTAATGTTAGTAAGTGAAGTTCTATTCTCAGTACCAAGTCCATGCGTAGTTACACATTCAGATATGCAGAGTCATATCAATCATTTTTTCCTCCCAAATCAAACAGCATGGTGGTCAAAAGCACATGATTTACACCCCAAAGGCTTGGCTTTGTAGCACACAAAATGTGTGGAGAAATATCCTTAGCCCTGGACCTGACTTTCCCTGGGAGTGGACTGCACTTGTACTGCTGTACAACCCAAAAGCTTTTCCAGCTTCAAAACCCAAGAGTGACATTTTGGAAACCAACCTATGGATTACTTAATCATAACTTCATGAAGCTAACTTGAGGAGAGGATGAGGGGAAAGAAATGCACCTATCCATCCCAATGATAAAAATGGGGGCTGCAAAGCAGGTCCCTCTGCAGCCCTTGCTATAGCTTAACTTATAGGGTGGAACAATGGTTGCTGCTCCCATATGCTCCCTTCATGGGTGTTTTCGGACGTTATGCCCAGGTAGCCTGGATCCAGAGGCCCTACCCCTCTTCTGCCCCACACCTCTCAGGGTGCTCACCTCCTTCACCTTCTTAATGGGGTCTGACTGAAACCCCACATGGGACTCCCAGGTGTGGCAGCCCACTTCTGTTCTTTGCTACTATTAGCTTTCTGTGGCTTCCATTTGAAAACCTTAGCTGAACTGGTAGGTTCCTCCTGGTAAACTCATTCTCTCTGTTGCTCTCAATGCACCATCAGGGCCACCTTCTGGATGAGCCTCATCCTATTATCATTATTCACTCTCTTCAAAAGAAAATAGCAAATGTTTCCCCCTCTTTTTTTCCCCATACAGATTTATCTGAGATCTGATTTGGAAAGTCAACTTTTCATTTTAATTACCAGCAAGCATCCATTGCTGTGAACAGGATGCAACAGAGGACCTTATGGGATTCTTTCCAACTCCTGTGGAACTACACTGTTCGTGACCTGTCCCTAAGTCACCATGCATTTAGAGGCTTCACTGAAGCTGTGCAGATTTATTGAAATTTAATTTGTGGCCAAAAAGAAAACAAGACTCAGAGAAAAGATACCGCACACATTAGGACATCAGCTGCTTGTTTTAAAGACACCCATCACCACTTTTTGCTTTGCTAGCTTTTGACAAACATTTTTAAAAGCAGGAACACCTGCAAGGGGGGTGGGGAGGGTTGCTTGTATCCAAAATGTCAGGTTCAAGTTCTATAAGCTGTTCCTAACATTTTTCTGACTTTTTGTTTTCTGCTCTTTGGTTTAGTGTGCTGCCTCATGCTTAAGCAGTAGTGCCAGTATGGTGTTCTATATATTAATGTTGCATTCATATTGTACCAATTTCTTCTAAAAATATAAAAGCCTAACAATGGCAAAGTTAATAAGTAAAAGCTGTCTCATGTCTGGGAACTTAGAAAACAATTTTGGCTTTAAAAGAAACATTGATTCATGATTCAACAGTGAGGGAGAAAAAACACGTCTGCTCCAATTTTATAGAATTATTTTTATCCTGTGACTACAGTGGGGTAATGAAACCATGACTTTTAATGGTTAAGGGTCACCATGCTAGTGCAAAAGGAGCTAAAGCCCGCACCTTCTGGAAATGCATCCTCTGCTGGTCTTTGCCTTGGCACATGGGAGACTTGCTGGTCATATGATATACAGCAATGGTATTCAACCTTGCAGTCCCAAGAGCCAAATGAGTGGCACAGGGTCAGTGCATGGGCTTGATCCTGAGCATAGGGTTGTTCTGTGGATGTGATCTGGCCACAAAAGTTTGGCCCTCACTGATTCAGAGCACGCCCCAGGTTTCTGAAATGTGCCCTGGGCCTGAGGCACAAACCTGTGAGCTTTACTGGGTTGTTGGTTCTGCCACCCTCGTTGTGCACTCAAGTGAAATTTAGCAGCAGGGGAGTGGCAATTAATGTTTACACTTCTCTCCAGCTGCCAAATTTCTAAATACCTGGGGAGACCCTGGGCCAGATGACATGGTCTTATGGACTGGAGGCTGAGCAACTCTGGTGTGGAGCGACTGTGACTAGCTCCCTGCTGCCTGGGTGGAAGGGGAGCAAACAGGCATCTGGATCACAAGGCCACTCCCACTGTTTATCAACATTTAGAGAAGGGGTGGCCAACTTGTGGCACACGTGTCACAGGCACCATCTGTATGTGGCAAGTAGCAGACTAGGGAGGGGACAGGCAGCATAGTGGTGGGTAAGGCAGGGAGCAGAAAACAGAGCAGAAGACTGGGCAGGGAGCACACGGCAGGAAGCAGAAAGTAGGTCCAACAGATCGGGCAGGGGAATGGAATCAGAGCAGCACTCAGGGAGGGTGTGGGGCTGATTTGTGATATGCCTGCCAAAAAGCTTGTCCCTCACTGGTTCAGGGCATGCCCCAGACTTCTGAACTGTGCCCTGGGCCTGAGCCACAGAACCTGTGAGCTGTACTGGGTTGCTGGTTCTTGGCTTCTCCTCTTCTGTCACTTTCCTGTGATGGAAGCAGAGTCCTTCTTTTCTAGGTGCCTTGATCCTAAACTTAGAGGTAGGTAAGCACCTGACCGTCAATTTTTGAACAATACTGAGAAGAAAGCCATAGAATAATCAAAACTCCTATCCTTCCTCTGCTGCAAAGTGTCAAATGCCCAAGGGGAAAACTGTTTACTTGAGTTGGCTGAACATTTCAAAAAGAAAAAAGCCAGTTTGTTGAGGCCCAAATATTTTGTTCAAAATATCTCAGGCTAATGAAGATGCAGGTATTTGAAGGAGCCCTGCCTGGGCCTCTGGTGGGTCAGGTCAAGACAGGCGCTGGAAGCTGTGGGTTCAATAAAGCATGACTAGAAACCATTAAGCCAATTCAAGGTGTTTCACAGCTCATTTCTCTATTACTTATTGTTATTCAGTCCAAGAGGCTTTTAAAACTTCTGGGGCTCAAAGTCATGTATATAATCCTCATCTGTCTTCCTTCATATCTTTTCATTTTTTCCTAATTTCGTCAATCTTTCCATCCATCTCATTTTCTCAACTGCAGTGTTATTCTCCCTTCACCTCTCCCCTTCTGCAAGCCTATATAATTTCATGATATATATATGTGCTCCCTTTGCCCTTCCATGTTTTATTATGTCCTCCCTTCAATCACTGACACTGCCCCATTTCTGGGGGGACTCGGTTCTTTTTTCTTTTTTCTCTTTATCCTATTTCGATTCAGTTCCAGTGCCTGTACTAACTCTGTCAGGCATGATTTTGCTCCCATTCTCTGATTAGTGGTCAGAGAGCCTGAATATTTGTTGGGCCTTCATTATTCACACAAGATATTTCTGCAGAGTTGTATTGGGAATGATATCATAAATGTATGTATGGGAGACAAGTCAGTATCCCCCTCCCCTTCTACAGATTTATCAATGTACGGAGCCAGTTTTCAGGGCAAACCACCATGGCAATTGCCTCAGGCCACAAATGACACCAAGCCTCTTTAGGTTAAGTTGGTGCAGTCAACCAATGAGTGGGTAAGAGCGGGTAGAGGCCTGTGCTTTAGCTGGGTCCACCATGAGTCTCACACAAGGAACAGAGAGAGATGATCAGGCCTCACGTGATCTTGCCAGATGATGAAGGGACAGAAATGCTGCCCTCTTCCTCCACGGTCTGAAGAACATGTGCTTTATTTATAATCCCTTTTTAGACAATCATAAAACAATCTTTTATGAACAAACTGTTTATGAGTCCTTTAACAAACTCTCCCCATGCAACATTTACAGGCTGCCGGATAACATCTCCTTCAGTTATCTGTTCAGGCTCTAACCAGACTTCCTGGGGGCCCTGCACTCCAAATTTGGCACAAGTTCAGTCCGCAATGAAGCTTGGCAAAACATTTTGATTAACTTAAGCTATGAATTTTAACAAACATCCTGAGCCAGGCCAAATCTGTGTGTTGTTTCTTTTCTCTTTCATGAACACATCTCACATTCAGGGCCAAAGGCTCCATTCATGTAAACTACACTGATTTATACCCACTGAAGATACGGCCCCTCTGCATCTCTCATACATCTAACTGGTTACTTGGGCCGTGGGGAATCTACAATCCACATACTACTGAAAAAACTAAAGGAGCTCTCTCTTCCTGGCAGACAAATAACTTGGCCAACTGAAAATGCAACTCAGAAATGACATTTCTGTATGGTGCCTCACATCCTTAATCATTCATATCTAAAACAATAGATGATTGAATGTAAAAAGGGCCTTTGGCAATATAAAATATAATAGCTTTAGTTGCTACAGGCAGTTACTACGAATGTATGTCTTCTGTACTCATACAGCAAATCATCACTGAAATTTACAGAGCAAAAGGTTCTAGCAAGATCAGATTAGCTGGGCTAATTCACTTTCCAGGAAGGGTTGCTGCAGAGAAAATAGTTTGATTTAATTTATCGTGTTTTTCTGCTGTACAGCATGGACTTGAAAATGAATTGAATCATTTTTACATCCCTTTTTGATTTTCCTTGACCCTTACCTGGACAAGGCAAGATGTTGCATTCCTGGTACTCTACAGAGGGACCCAGACAGGGAAGTCCCCCATATTTGGGCTCAGGATTGTTGCAGACACGTTTGCGGTTCCGAATACCTCTGCTGCAGTCCCGACTGCACTGAGACCACGGAGTCCATGGTGACCAGGCACCATTGATTGTGTGAGCGGAGTATCGGCCAGAACGCAAGAAATCCCCAGAGAGCCCTTTAAAAAAAGGCAGAAAAAGAAACATGGGATTAAAATACTATCCACTTCAAAACAAACATTTATTTTCAAATTTACTCTTAATCTTTCAATAATCATTTTTGGAACGATTCTGGATGATTTTTCCCTCTAACTACACACTCCCATAGGGCCTTGTTACATGGCAATTTTGGGCAATGCCTGGGGCTCTTAACCCCTGGATTGTTCACACATTAACATCTGAAACTGCTTGTAAGCACTTGTTATGCAGCTCAATGTTATGCCACTCCAGGGCAGGATTATCCATGTTACTCAATTCCTGTTGCACTAAGATATAGACTCTCTAGGATACATCTTAGGGTAAACACCCCACCTATCCCCCCACAAGCCCTGATCAGGCCCACTGCTTCTCCCCACCCCTCGCTGCTCTCTCCAGTACCCCAGATCCTTGCTCACTACCCTCCCCCCTGCTTATGTGCAGCTGCCCATGCCGTCCCAGGGGGACAGGCAGGGAAGGGTTAGCTTGCTTGCCTGGTTGCTGCTGCTGCTGGTCTCTGGGCCAGAAGAGCAGCAACCTGGAAGAAGTGGCAGCTGAGCAGGCAGTTTAACTCTTCCCTGCCTGCTCCCCATGACAGTTAGGGCAGGCAGCCACCCATAAGTAAAGCCCTGCGGTAGGGGGTGGTAGGAGGCAGGGGAGAAGTCCTAGGGGTGGGAGGGAGAGCCCTGAAGTGGGGGAGATGTTTACCTTTCAGACCTTGAGGCCCCTGCTGGTCTAAACATGTGACTGCTCCACACTCAAACTAACACTA